AGTAAAGAAAAATGAAGAAAGAAAAAAAAGATAAAAACAATAAAGAGAAATTTAGAACAAACAAAAACTAAAAAAAAACAAAGAAAAAAAAGATAAAATGAAGAAAAAAAAAGGAAAGAAAGAATATTAAAATAAAAAAAAACAAGTTAAAATGAAAAAAAAAGAAAAAAAAAAGAAAAAACTAAAAAGAGAAATGAGTGAAAAAAAAACTAAAAAAAAAAAAGGCAAGAAAAAAAAAAAGAAAGGGTAAAAAGAAAAGGACGAAAAAAAAATAAAAAAAAAAGAGCGAAAAAGGGGTGAAGAAAACAAAAAGCAAAAAGAATATGCACAAAAGCAGCAAAGTACAAGTAGCAAAAGTGAAGGTAAGCAGCAAATGAAAGTAGCAAAAGTGAAGGCAAGCAGCAAAGCAAAAGTGGCAAAAGCAAACAATAAAAAAAAAGCAGCAAAAGTAAAAGCAAAACAACAAAGCAAAAGTACAAATAAAAATAACTATTTTATATGATCGTTTATAATTTCTGGGGTTGTTACAAATAAAATCATATAATATGTTATTACATATACATTTATTTATATAATAAAATTATATAAAAAAAGTTTTTATTAAAATAAAAAATTATTTTTTTTATTTTTTTTTGTTTTAGCAATCCTTTCTTTATTATACTAGGTAAATGCAAAGCATTGTTTGTCTGAAACTTATTTAATTGGCAAATCACGAGTCATCTGAACAAATATTTTTTTTTATATATAAATTTTACTATAAGCCTGAGTGTGGAGTATGCCTATCTAAAACCTTTTTTTTACTTAGTAAATTACTCTTGGGCTTGTAACAGAAGTTGTAAAGCTCATCAAGAAGCATCTAATGGTAGTAAGAACATTAAAATTAGCTTGGTAGTTCTTGAGAAATTTTTAAAAACTTCTTTTTCACATATAAAATTTCTTTAAAAAAAATCAATTTTTTTTTAAAGAAATTTTATATGTGAAAAAGAAGTTTTTTAAAGATTTCTCAAGAACTACCAGGCCAATTTTAATA